GAGTAGCCCAAGAGTTGACGGTGGGTGGTGATTACTAGCTGCCTTCCCTCTAGTCTTACACTGCTAAATTAGGGACAGCTAGCGCAGATAGCCCTCGTGTAGCTTTGCGCGAAATTCAAAAACAAACAAACAAAGAAACAAACATAGATAGCGTCACGATTTTACACTAAAGAACAACAACAACAAAAAAACTATATTAAATTTTCCTTCCCCAGGTGGGACAGCGGTACGTATTCGGATTTACAATGCTAAAATCAGGGGTTCGATAACCCTTTATGGCTTTGCTATAAGAAAACACACATTAAATTTTCTATAATAAAACATACACACAGTGTGGGGGAGGGCACGTAAACGTTTTATATATCTTATAGACTGCGTTAGCTCTCTCTATAGAGGAATGCAATAAAAATAAATGGGCCTACTCTTGCAATAATACATAAACTCAGATAAAGTTTCTACTACAACAGCCACTATAACGCTGATATGAAGAGTCGTTTCTTGAGTTATACCAACTTCCTACTTTGACCCGCGACCTTAAAACTTCATCGCGTATGACACTTCTGCGGCCAATGACCGTCAGTTAATCAATATAATGAATACTGTAAAAATATGTTTGTTTGTTTTGAATTTCGCGCAAAGCTACACGAGGTCTATCTGCGCTAGCCGTCCCTAATTTAGCAGTGTAAAGTAGGAAAACAGTTAAAAATCATCAGCATGTTAAACAAAGGAGGAAAACAGTTAAAAATCATCAGCATGTTAAACAAAGGAGGAAAACAGTTGAGAAGACGGTGCAATAAATCTTGCAATTAACTTTGTAAACTTTTACAAAAACCGAAACCAAATGAATATCAAACTTCTAGAAATGATTTTTTTGTTTTGTTTGTAGTAAAGCACAAAGCTACACGATGGGCTATCTGTGCTCTGCCCGCCACGGATATCGAAACCCAGTTTCTAGCGTTTTAAGTCCGCAAACATACCGCTGTGCCACTGAGGGGCTATGGTGACTGAAAAATATACTATGTGAAATATTGTATTGACAAGGGAAATGAGTTAATCACGAAACTAGAGGCTAACATACTGTGCTAACTGAAATAATTCAATGAAAGAGGGGACCCGGCATGGCCAGGTGGTTAGGGCGCTCGACTCCTAATCTGAGGGTCGCTGGTTCGAATCTCCGTCCCACCAAACATGCTCGTCCTTTCAGCCGTGGGGGCGTTATAATGTGACGGTCAATCCCACTATTCGTTGGTAAAAGAGTAGCCCAAGAGTTGGCGGTGGGTGGTGATTACTAGCTGCCTTCCCTCTAGTCTTAAAAAATCATCAGCATGTTAAACAAAGGAGGAAAACAGTTAAAAATCATCAGCATGTTAAAAAACTGTTTTCCTCCTTTGTTTAACATGCTGATGATTTTTAACTGTTTTCCTCCTTTGTTTAACATGCTGATGATTTTTAACTGTTTTCCTCCTTTGTTTAACATGCTGATGATTTTTAACTGTTTTCCTCCTTTG